CTCACTCTCGCTCGAGCGACCAACTCCTCGCTCGAGCGAAGGTCCAAAAATCTGGGCAGCAACACTAGGCTCCCAAACACAACCAACCTGAAACAAACCTGCCCAACACATCCTATAACTCAAATATAAAGTAAAAAGGGTGTAAACAAGATAATAATCAACTACCAACATCCACGGACACATGTCCGGATCACTGTACAACAAGGGTAAACCCGGGAGTATCTTGGACTCATAAGTCGTATGACATAAATATGTGATTTATGTATGTATCAGTGTTGGCCATCTATCAATTGCTAATCTTTTAGTCATTGTTCATATTTGGTTTAGTGTATTTCTACTGGGCTGTGGCTCACCCTATATGGGAATATCATTTTCAGGTACAGGAAGCATGCCACCTCCAAGGACATAGCTTGGGAGGCTAGGGGCGGACATACTAATGTCGTTATCTTTTTGATGTATTACATGTAATTTCAAGCCAAGGGCTTTATGTGTAACGAGTTAGAACTCTTTTGTTGTAACCAAGTGTTAACTTGGAAAGCTGTAAGCCTGTAAGGCATTTTGCTTTTGTTGTTAACATGTAATACTTTTTGTAATGAAACTCTGAGAAATGAAAGAATGTGGAACTTTTGAATATCAATGTATGTCTTATTTGTTGGGTTTAATGTTATTATTTTGAGGGCGTTACACATCCCAACTTTTAGGAGTTTTCTTAGATTTAAAAAAAAAACGTATGCTATTTTAAAACATATTTATCAAATTTAAGTAAATTTGAATTTTTTTAATTAATTAATTTCATGTTATTTTGTGATATATAGTACTTTGAAAACAGGACTTTAGGTGATGTCTTGAATTGAAAATACATTTTCTTACCTAAAGTCATTTTTTAAAAATAAATCATAACAACTTGCATGATAAATAAGTTTTGAAACTACTTAGGTTTGGTAGAAACTCCTACTTTTATATTGTATTCACAACATTTACCCTCATACAATAGGAATAGGTGTTGATTTTTTACCTTAATTTCTATACAGTATAAAGATGGACAATTTCAATGATGATGGTGATTATGATAATGATGGTGATTATGATAATGATGACAATGTCGTTGGATCTTCACAACAACCAAATCACCCGTATGGGAATCCCTACTTAATGGCAGCAGCAGTGGTAGGAACAATTTATGCAGAAAATTACCTAAATAAACAACCATGTAGGACATCTGCTCTCACAGGATATCAATGGATGTTAGAATTGCAACATGGTAATGCTACAAGAATATATGAAAATTTTAGAATGGACAGGGATGCTTTTTATCAATTGTGCAATTTATTAGAGACTAACTATGAACTACAAAGTGGGGAAAAAGTTGGGGTTCAACAACAAGTTGCTATTTTTGTATTTATTGTTGGTCAACATGCAAACAATAGAAATGCTCAAGAAAGATTTCAATTATCGGGTGAAACTATTTCAAAATACTTCCACTCTGTTTTAAAAGCGTGTGTGAAAATGTCCGTGGATTGGGTGAAGCCTTGGCAGAGAAATGGGGTTCATCCGTACATAAAGAATAGTCGAAAATATTACCCTCATTTTAAGGTAACTACAAATACTCTCTCTCTGTCTCTTAAAAAAAATATTTTCTGATATTTTTTGTATGTAGAATTGCATTGGGGCAATTGATGGAACACATATCAAAGCTCATGTGGAAGCAGAATACTTACCCCGTTTCATAGGTAAGAAGGGATATGCTACACAAAACATATTGGCAGTGTGTGACTTTGACATGTGTTTCACATTTTGCTTGCCTGGTTGGGAGGGAAGTGCACATGACATGCGAATTTTTTGGGATACAATTAGGAATCCAAACAATAATTTTCCATATCCAGAAGGAGGTATGTATGTAACACAAATTAAGATTTATTCATTTATTCTATATTAGTTATATTTGTAATGAGTTCATATTTTACTTTGTAGATGAGTATTATTTGGTTGATTCTGGCTATCCAAACACAAAGGGTTATCTTGCGCCGTACAAAGGGGAGAGATATCATTTAGCTCAATTTGACCATCGGCCTCCTCAAACTGCACATGAAAAATTCAACAAAACACATTCATCACTCAGGAGCATAATAGAAAGATCATTTGGTGTTTGGAAAGCAAGATGGCCTTTTATGAAAGATATTCCATGCAATTATAATTTTGTTTGTCAACGACAATTTGTTTGTGCTACTATGGCGATCCACAACTTCATTAGACGAACTAAGTTAAGGGATATTCCATTTGACTCTTATGATAAACATATTGAGTATGTCCCTGTTGACGAGGAAGCAGTGGTAGGGGAAGACCGACATGGGCATCCGGTTCGTAATGATGATTATGAGATGGATTCAAGAAGATATGAGATTTTAATGTCAATTTCTCAAGGAAATAATTATTAAAATATAATAAATTTATTTTTGTGTAATATTTATTTCATTGTATTATTATTTAAAAATGATAGGGTTATGTTAATTTGGTGTTGGAATGATCTCTTAATATGTAATTAATAGCAAAAAGTCTAGAAAAATTCAATTTACAACTAACAAGGGTAAAAAAGACATTTACACAGCAAAAAGCTACTTCACAGCTTATTTAACAAACACTACTCAGTAACTTAAATCTATAATCCAACAGCTACACCAAACAGATTAACAGCTTCTGATTAAAGTCATAATCTATAATCTATTAAGCTATAATCTATAATCTGTTTTAACAGCTACACCAAATGGCCCCATAAGCTTTCAGCTTAGCCTCTCTCATTACTTTCTTGACGTCCTTATTAGCCAATCTATAGGTCTTAAGGTTTCCTCAGTTCTATCCTTTTGCCACTTTTTAAAGCACTCTTTTTTTGCCTTAACTACCACTTGAACCTCTTCCCTCCACCACTAAGTTTCCCTAGAGCTGGGTCTCGTTCCTTTTGACTCTCCAAGCACTTCTCTTGAGATTCTCCTCATACAATTGGCCATCGAGTTCCACATAGTGTTAGCATTATCTTCTAAGTCCCAAGTACCTTACTTATCCATTCTATTCTTAAATATTTCTAATTTATCCCCTTTTAGGTCCCACCATCTCGTCCTACGATGCCCACCATCCTTCCTAGCTCGGTATTGCCCTCTAAAACATAAATCTAGTACCAAAATCCTATGTTGAGAGGTCAGGCTCTCGTCAGGAATCACCTTACAATCATTGCATTTTAGGCAGTCCACTTTTCTCACTAAGAAGTAATCTATTTGGCTCTTAACTAACCCACTCTTAAAGGTTATCAAATACTCCTCCCTCTTATTATACATAGTATTGGCCACCACCTGGTCAGAAGCCAACACAAAATCTAAAATACTCTCTCCAGCCTCATTTCTGTCACCAAAATCGTATCCACCATGCACCCTTTCATAGCCTAGCTTATCTATGCCTACATGGCCATTAAAATCTCCACCTATAACTCGATTCTCTTCTACGGGTATCTCCTGTAAGATCTTATCCATTTGCTCCAAAAAATTCCTCTTAGTCTGATCATCTAATCCTACTTGAGGGGTGTATCCACTAATAACGTTCACTATATTCCCTCCAATAACTAGTTTAACTAACATAATCTTATCCCCTTTCCTAATGACCGCTATTACATCCACAAGACCCTTGGCAATTAAGATTCCGACCCTATTCCTGCTCCTTACCACTATAATACAGTTTAAAACCGATATCCTCAATTTCCCCAACTTTCTCACCTGTCTACTTAGTTTCTTGTACGCAAGCTATACTAACTCTCCTCCTAATCATAACAAAGGCATGTTTTCCCTTGTTGATAAGAAAATATCTGCCAATTGTGGTGGGCCATTCTGGCTTTTCCAAGCATGGTTGTATGCCTATTTTCCTGAAATACGACCTCCCAAACTAAACACTATGATCCCCAAACATTACTCTTATGTAGAATGTTTCTTAACCTTTGTTGACGCCCAAACTTAGCTTCTCTGAATGCCTTACTACACTCTTGAACCTTTCATCTGACAAAGACCCCCCTACTGTTCATGCTATTTCAATCGTGTCGATTCTCATCTTCTAGACTACAACATCCCTTCATGGATCCCTCAAACCTAACAGATAAAGAAAAGATTTGTTAAGTTGAAACATGAAAACATATTCTCACTTGTAGACATATCCTAGTGGGGTGTTCTATCTGCTCGACCAAAATGTCTAGCTATAGTATTGAAAACTATTCTCCCAATCAATGGGTTAGACAATTTGAACTTACTTAAGGCACACCTTGCCCTTACTTTCACTCCACCATTGAAGAAGAAATATGGACAAGGATCAATATCAAAGAATCTTCCGATGCAAAACTAATTGGAGTGGAGAATGAAAAACTTCTACAAGGCTTTAGCACCTATTACTTCAAGCATGTTCCTGACCTCACCCAGGGTTTTCAACACTGGTGGACCCTTATAGCAGCAGTAATTTTCTCCAAACCTCTTCAGACCTGTTTGAGAGATGTGTCTGTTGACAATGAAGGCTTCGAACCACCCACTTCAAGCCTGAAGACTTCAAGTAAGTTTATCGTAGTTATCAACCCACTTCTACATTACAGCGGTGGTAAGACACATGAAGCAACCAAAGGTACACTCACTAACTCACCAAGTTCATATGCTTTAGCAGCTAAATTAGCAGCAATGTGAGCAGAGATCTTTCTGATATTAGAGAATGGTGGATAGATCAAACCCTTGTCAATGTTCACTTTTGTTACTTGCTCAGCCAAAGCCACCGTTGTTATAAAGGAAAGTTGATGATTTAGATACAAGGGTGAACCATTCTATCTATTTGTCGTGCTTGTCGTCTAGAATTGCAATTTAACAGGTTTTGCCAAAAGTTTTCCATAGTGCTTTACACATGATTATGGGCAACCAGTGTAAAAAACTTCTGTTAAAAGGATATCTAGAGAGGGCAAGATGTACAGAGACTGTTTCAATGACTTGAACCTGTGCCGCCAAGGACAGTAATATTGTAAATCGCCTTTATAGAACCAGATCACACATCAAGGGAATAAAACATACACAAGGTGTTTTATGAGTTTATGTTCTATTGGAATTTAAGTAAACATCTCAAAACTTTTTCTAAAGATAGTCTATTCATTATGTACGACTTGCATAGCCTAGTTGGCCACCATGCCTTCCTTAGGGCTTACTCCGAAAGAGGTCATGAGTTCAATTCTCATTAAAGGAGTTGAATTAAGGGAGTGCAAGCCCTTAAATGCTTTGCCAAGGGTGGGGAGATTTTCTTCCATATGTGCTAATCTAATAACTACCAACTAACATTTGTCGATAAAAAAAAAAAAATGTACGACTTGCATAGATATGTGACCAGAGTAAAGGAAAAAAAAAATAATAAAGCGAAGTAAAATGAAATAAATAAAGGAATGAATTCCTTTCTCTTCAATTATCAAGTAAATTGTATTCAACTTATAATGTGTGTAGTTATGTAATATGTAGTGCACTTATAGGCTTCCAGAAGTGTTTTATCATGTACATGAATTGTACCAGAGATGACCAAACCCAAACCAAATCCAGGGAAAATATATGCATTATTTGCTTGAATTGATCACCAAAAAAAGAAAAGAAAAGAAAAGAAAAGGTGCCATCAAAATCAATTTTTAGTATCCATCTCAGATGCATTAAGGATATAACACCAAAAAACTAGAAGTATAAAGTAATAGAACCTGGCTAGGTACATAGAGTTTGCCATTGTATTCTACAGGGTCAAATGGACTTCCACTGGCAAAAATTGCATGTCCCTTTTTTTAGAATAGAGAAATTTATTAGTTTTGTATTTAAATCTAATCAGACATTACTTTGTATTAAAGCATCAAATTATAAGATAATAAAAAATGCATAATTTATTTTTAACTGACTTCAGGTATAAGCTTATTCAGTTATGCACACAGATTGCGAGGTTGGGTTGGAGAGAGCCATAATGAGAGGTTTCTGCATGCCATTCATTTAGAGTCATATTGTATAAATTTTGTAGAGAAAGAGAGAGAGAGACCATTCATTTAGAGTCTTATTGTAAAATTTTGTATAGAGAGAGAGAGAAGAGAGAGAGAGAGAGAGAGAGAGAGAGAGAGTACCTTATTGAAGGAGGCCATGGCCTCAATCACCTCTTTTGTGAATGTTCTTCCTACTCCAGATGAACCAATTAGAACCGTCAGCTTGATAGCTTGATGACATCTGAAAATGAAATAGAGACCAACAATCTCTGAAAACTACCTTCTTATAATAAAATGTAGACATAATGGGAATGCATCAAACCTTGACAGCATCTAAAAGATCCTTGACGGGTTCATGTAAGTGAGCCCAAGGTTTCTTGAAGTGTTGAAGGGAATTCTTACGAGAACTAATGATTAGTCCCTACAAGAGAAATCACATGCTTTTTGATTAATGCAAGACACAAGTGCCGAAAAGGGTAAAAATGGAAACAAAATAAAAATATGATTAGTCATGATTGACTAAATATCCATCATTTAGGAAGAAACTATTAAGTATTAGTGTGTAAGGATAGTTATGTCATTTACTCCTTTAGTCTTTTATTATAAGAATGTGTAACCCTAATATGTTTATGAGTGAGAAATAAAACTCAGCAGCAGTGATCTCTTTTTTCTTCCTCTCATTCTGTTATTTCTTTTATGCAAATCTAACATGGTATCAGAGCTTCATCTTCCTCCTTGAAGATTCTTCTCTTGTTCCTTGTTTCATTCGTTTTTCTTTGTACACAAAAAATAAAAATAAAATAAAATAAATCCAAAAATAAAAAATAAAAAATTCCTTCATGGTCGAAATTTGATCGGTTTTCACTTTAGATTTTTATTTTAATTTTTTGACGAGTGTTTGAGTGTTTTTCCAATTTTTGTTGATTTTTGGAAAAACTGATTGATTTTTCGAAAGTCCTAGCAGAGCTTGTTTTTGGCTGACTTTTTCCTTCCTCCCTCTACCTTGGGAGCCAATTGGGATTGTACTAGGGTTGGGAGACTTGGTTTTGATGATTTTGTAAGGTTCCACTCTATTTCGGTTTTCCTCAGTTTCAACACAGTTTCTCTCAGTTTCTTATTGTTTTTGGCCTCACCAGCCTATGTTTCGGCTCTGTTTTTGTCTCTAGAGGTAACTTTTGTCCCTAAGTTGACTTTGTGAATTTGCCTCTGTTTGTTTTTGCCGGTTTTGGGCTGGTGTTTATTTTTCTATTGTGGGGATTTAATCTACAATGGCTGAGGGTGAGACTAAGGATACAATTAGTGGTGAGGGTGGCCTACGTTGTGTTATTACTCTTGCCGACAGTCCCTCTCTTCAAATTAGTCCCATTAAATTGGATGGTTCCAACTATTTGATTTGGTCACGCTCCTGTTGTCTTGCTATTGTTACTTGCCGTTTGACTGGCTACATTACTGTTCTCTTCCCCTATCGGATGGTGATGACTCGCTCTATACTTAATGGATT